TTCCCATAGAGAGTTGAAATGGTTTACTATTTGAGAAAATATTTACTAACCTTATGTTTAGGGGACTGTATGACTGATTTTGTAGCACAGCAGCTTTGACTGTACAAACATTCTTTTCCAGGGATTTGTGTGCATGGGGAAGTCAATATTTGTGTAAAATATTTAATGAAGGTGTGAAGTCTCAAGTCTCCATGAATACTCTCATCTGCAGAGTTGAGGAACGGCATGTGGTGTAACCAGTGGCAGAGATGATGTCATTTATATGCTGATACCACCTTGTTTCTCGACAGTGCGAACACCCTGAACAACCTGCTGCTTTGTTAGCTCATTCAATAGTACAGCACAAAACACTGTTTCGTTAGGTTTCATGGCTCCGTAGAGTTTAAAGCAGCTACTGTAGCAGGTATTATGACCGGATGAGTAAACTGAGGCACAAAGGGCTTCACTCATCCATCACAACTCCTCGTGAATGGCACTGCACATGCTATTTGGCATCCTTCACTCTATCCATTACATGATGCAGGCTTCCTAGAGTATAGAGATGAAGTGATATTTCTGACCTCTTTGGTTTTTTATCTCACTAGGTGCCCCAAGTTTGTGGCTAGGTCACACTCCTGTTAATCACCCCTTTGTGTTTTGTGGAATTACACCTCATGCAAAAATCTTCTGGTTCCCACCAGGTAGCGGGGGCAGCTTCAGGAAGGAAGAGGAGGGCAGCTCCACCAATGCAGCTGCATCAGAGCTCGGCAGAACCATGTCTTATACAGATAAGAGCTTTCCTGTGCTCCAAGAAGGCCACGTACTTCTGAGACAAGTGGGCCTTTGCAGACAGTGCTTCAAGGATGAATATACCTATGTCATATTTCCTGAAGGTGCATGTGTCTTGAACATGAACCACTGCAGGTGATCTTCACTAGGATCAGATCCTTGAAGTTCAACACACAAACTGTTCAAAATCATCAGCATTAAAAAGAATATTAATACACTTGCAGTTCTCATCTGCCTTCTAAGTAATTCTAGTCCAATCTATGCCCCAGAAATATGGTTTTCAGTTATTAAAGCTGTACTTTTTGCAGATTCACTTGTTCCTGGAGATGGAAATTTATTGTAATATTAGAGATAAAAAAACTAATGATAAACTTGGGGGGTGCTGGTAACATTGTTCAGGTGCTAGGTTTGCACTTCTTAGAAGGGTCTCCTATCCAACAGTTAGGGGGCAACATTAACCAGGCAGCCAGTCACAGATCTTAACTGACAGCTAGAGTTCACAATTCTGACATATGACATCAGTAGGAGAGTGCTGCACTAAGAACATAAGGTAAGAGGAAGCATTCAAATCCCATGGCCAAAATCACATGTTCTGCAGTAACAGGAGAAAGGCCCGGACCATGCAGAGGTAGCAGAAGAGGAAGGGCATGCAGACTTGCACAACAGCAATGCCAAGAGGGTCCCTACCTCTGCCTCTTGCCCTAAGAGCACAGAGCAGAAAGGTTCCAGCTTGCTAATCGCTAAGCAGTAATCATCGACTTTCTCCTGCCTTTACGCCTCCCCAAATAGGTAATGTACACCAATGTATCACCATCAACTCTTCCTGGACGCACAGTCCATTTCAAGACAGATTCAGATTTCCAGCTACACTGAAAGGCTGAACTCCATACATGAAGTTACTCCCTGGTACTACTGGTACCATGGGCTATGTTTGAAGGATGCTAAAGATATGGGCTATCAGCTTGCACAAAGTTGTAAATAATTAACCCTTGGGAGTGGTCAGGATTTTCCTGCAAACTTTCCTCTGATTTCACCTGGTTTCTGAACGAGAAAGACCAATCTCTATGTTAAAAAAGAAAGAAAAAAAAATACCCCCACATTTCACCAGTGAGGATAAAAGAGACATCAGGCAAATGGTGCCAATTGCGACAAAGACAACACTCTGGAATAACATGATTATAACATGATTAACGGGCCCAGAAAACTATGAGTCTGTTTCTTCTTTTCTATTTTTCACACAAGCCTTGACTCTACCTGAAAACATGTGATGGAATGACAAGGCTTTGAGCTATGCTTGCACTAAAACCACACAGCCCAGAGATCTCCTGCATTTGCGCTGAGCATTCAGGCATAAGTCCTCTTCTGTGCACTGAATCCAATTAGATTAATTGATACTCATGAACGAGTGGAGGAAAAAGCTGCTTTTCTTGATTGTAACGGGCCAGCAAGGTGATTGTGTAATTTCTCCGAACCCAAAGACTGCAGTAACTTGCAGCCTTGCATGAGTTTGGCTCATGAGCACACAAGCGTACGGCAACTACCAGACTGGATGTTTTTTGAACTATCAGAGTATGTTTATTGTAAGCGGGTACTGGGCACTGCTAGATCGTGTGTTATGCCATTGAACAGCATAACTACGCCATTCTTTAAACAGTTATTTTCATATGTCCACAGGGAATGAACAGAATATGCCCCTCAGACAGTATCATCTGCCATCTCTGCATTTCCCCAAGACTTGCAATAGCCTGCATATGTGCAGGCCTTCCTGCAGAAAAAAATGAATAAATAAAAGAAAAAAGGGTACCAGACAAAGCAGTCTCTTAATAATTTGTTATAAAAAGCTTGCAGACAGAGTCACTGGAGCATGGCAGAAACATCATCACGCTCGTGTAAGTATAGGAACAAATTACTGAAGCTCCGCAAATCATTTGCAATGAGACGCTTATCCAAACACAGCTTTTCTTCTTGCGTATGGCATAGCTGAGCAACTACCTGGGATATTGCTCCATAAACTCCTTTTCTTCAAGGGGATGATCTTGGGCTGTTTTCTCTAAGAGATACAGCACAGAATACCCAGAACCAGAAAAACAACAAGCAAAGCTCTGTAACGTCGCCCAGTTTAGCTTGCTGTGGGGACCTGACAGCTCCTAATAGTTTAGGCGGCCATATGGGACTTCCTAAATTTTCAGAGTGTCTTGTCAACTTCCCACAACTTTGGCTGCGCACAGCAGTGAACCTGGCCCCATCTCCTCCCTCAGCACATCCTCCATCCTCTCCCTCTACACCTTCTGCACCAAGAGGTGCACAAAGATCCTGGACTGCGGCTGTTTGCCCAATTCCTGCACCTGAAATCACCTTCTGAGTTGTAAAAATATTCCTAAGATAAGGATTTTCAAATTCTTTTTTTGTAGCTCTGGCTTTGTACTTGGATGAGGTCCCACAACAGAGTGAAGCTACCATCAGGGGAAGAACTCTGGCTGCTGCAGGCTAATCTGCTGTGTACAACCCAAGGGGTCTTAAAGTAGTAGAGGAACCATGGCACTGCATTATTGGGATTGTCTGAGTTACCTGCCCTAAGGAAAAAAGGAGACAAAGGCTAATTAAGGGGTTAAAGGCTTCTTAAGTGCCTGGAAGCACAGTTTTATTCCAAATTCAATCGATGTGACCCTTCCAGGATCTAATCCCAAACGTCAAAAACCCTCATTACCTCCGAGAGCTCTGGATGAGGCAAAAATTACAGACTGAGCTAAAAATGGTTGAAGAGCTGTCAAAGGAGAAAAAAATATATATAATTAGAAATTTTTGAGGAAATTTAAAATAATTTTCTTGGCTACAAGTCTCTCAGAAGGCATTATACCAGTACAGTGAGCAGTGCAGAGTATATGGAAAATTTACAGACAGATATAACCAGCTTATATAAAATAAATGCATCCTCACATCCTGCCCACCTTATTTAATTTCATTTGTGCTAGTGACCTGGCAAAGGAGATCTGAAGACCTGTCCACGGCATGAAACAATCTCATACAGCTTCTAAATACTCAGACTGAGTTTAAAACGCACCTTTCACAGACATTTCCAGGCTTATGAAGAGCAAATGCAAGATGTACCAAGTACAGACATGATCTGGAAATGGGGTAAGTTTTTGCAAAATTATCTCCCCAAAGAAGCATTGCAGCAGATTATTTTAAGCAAATGCATAGTCCTTGATGTTCAACCTACATTGAACAGGCATGAAATAAGCTAGATACCTCTCTTGGATCTTAAGCCTTTGCAGTTCATCAGCCACTCCATAAGGCAGCATCTCCTTGGGCAAATTGCAGCGCTGAGCCCATCTCGCAGCTGTGGTCATATCACTATAACTGATTAGCAACTGTATCAGGTGCCCTTGTAGCCACCGATTCTCTCCAACCGTGTTCTGAAAGGAATCAAATGTGAGTGAAGAGTGTCAGAGCAAGTTTCATCTACCCCCCTCTCAGGAGACAGCATTATGTGCGTCACCCTCCAAGGGGTTTGGACAAGTGGAGGAAGGAACAAGACTCCCCTCACCGCACAACTGATATTCTTTAAACCCAGTGAGCGCTGCATTTTTTTCTGCCAGTAGATGAAGAGCACATAGCACAACAGAGAGCTAGCCAGGCTCTCCGTGTTCTCGACAAGGCCGCTCTGAACTGCATTGTTCAGCTCATCTGAAGATCACAGGTGTAGCCCAGACAAATGAAGGTAAAACAATGCCATTTAGCCTGACTGATGACTAGCATATCATTCAGTTTATCTCAGGTACTGATCAAATCAAGCAAAATCCGAACTCATGACTGACTAGAGAGTAGAGGTCTTTGGGCTTGTCAGGCAATTAATCATGGACGGGCCTTGGGTTTGGATTGCCTTAGTCCTGTTCTGCACCTACACATGGCCCTGAAGTCATACGGTGACTGGATCCGGGGAGAGGCAATAGGAGGGCTCATTCCCTCCAGATGAGACAGCAGCACAGGCTCTCCTCAAGCCTTGGGTGCACCTGCATGGGTGACTGGGCTTGTGCTTTTCACCAGCTACACACAGGCTCCAGGTAAGGCATGTCAGTAAGGCTTTCCAGAGCAAAAGGCTTTGGTGGTCGCTGAGAGGAATATGCTCATTCATCTGCTTACAGCTCCCCTGTACATCCCTCAGCTAAAACGGGTGCCGAGTCCCCTCATCTGGCAAAATGTAACTGTACACTATGCAGACAAACATCCTTTGCAGTCAGCACAGACCTAGCTAGGACTGTTGCTGGGGAGCAGGGTTTGACTGGTCTCATTCTGTGTCTCAAGTAGGTTGCATGAACTGTGCAACCTGAAAGTGACACTTTATCCCCATCAATTATAAAAAGAACCTGGAGTGGTCACTTGAGCTGTGAAAAACTGAGCGCAAGCAATTCCTCTCTTTGCATCCACTCAAGGCCTCTGTGGACCTGACAAATGGATTACTGTTTCCATGATACAAACACACACAGTGACCTCAAGTGTCACTGTAGGAATCTGAGCTATATGCACCCAGCAACCAGAGTGGTTTAAGATGCTCCTCCTTCCCAGAGATGCCCATGCCTTGGCACACTTCAGAACCTGTGATGTGCTAGCACAAACTCACTGCCAGCTGCTGTTTGAGCTCAAACACCCAGCTGTGACCCAGAGTGGCTGAGGCACAACACGCTGCCCACACCGGCACGAGGAGCCATAGGAGTCTTGATGGGGACAGTTAGACTCACCAGTGCTCTTTTACTTGACCCACTTGGTGCACGCCCACATGCTTGCTCTAGTGCTGTAGCACTGCAGTTGCAAGAGGAAAGATGAATGCAGTGACACCACTATGGAGGGGTGGGAAAAATCCTTCTCATCCCCCCAGCCAAGCTACTGGTGCTTGCAACCATCCTGGAGTCACTGCCGCAATATCAGCAACTCATTCCTACTGCCAGTTCTGTTGATCGATTTATTTGTGGATCTGTCTCAAAAATTAACATTGTCAAGAGAAATTTATTGCCAAAACAACTTGAAACTCTACGTGGTAGATCAGGATTTGTAGCTATACTGCTACATTGTTGTTAGCACTACCCAAAAGCGCTTTTTAGTGCGGCAAAAGGCCGTAAGAATGAAAAGCTTGGATGCCAACTAAGTCTCTCTCTCCTTTTACACGTATCACAGCCATCTCTCCTTGGCTGCCCAGGCAAACAGCGCTTGCAGGGTCAGCAGCTGTTCCCAGGAACTGTAAGCACCTTGCTTTTTCTCCATGGCATGTACAAACAAAGCCTGGTTGTGTGGTATGCTGGGGGCCATCAGGCTTCATTCCTCGCATTCTTTTAGTAACTGAAAGGTAAGAAGTTGTCTTCAAAGCAGACACCCCGTGCAGAGATCAGGAAACAAACCTGTCGATGGCCCCAAGGTAAAAGGAAAGAAAAAACAACCCCCCAAAAACCCCAGAGAGGTGCAGGAAGGGGCAGACTATGACTTGGAAGGAAAGCCACAGAGAAATTCTGCATCCCAGGTGACACACGCAGGAGAAGCCCGCCTGACCATAAAAGTTGCTGCCTCAGCACTCAGGCTGCACCTCTGAGACTCTGTCAAATGCCGATACACATTTCTTCTCATAGATGCGTGCAGGAATATTTTTACTGCTGTTCCTAAGAGGCTGGTGATAGAACTAGGAGCTGATGCCATCGAGACAGGGGTCCAGGAGCTGGGCTGAGGGACACGATCTAACCAGGGAGCTCAGTTACAAGAGAGAAGCAGGAGAGAGAACTGAGGAAGGAGAGCTGGAAAGGATAGGCTATCACATTAAGGCTTGTCACCCTCCTCTAAAACAACTGAAAGCTCTTGCACAGGGAGGAAGTGTGCTCTCTCCACCTAAGGTTGTTTGGCTGTTACCTGCAGTCAAGACTTGTGCCTGGAGACCTGGACCCTGCTGAATTTCCGGCAGGCCCTGGCGCGCCTGACCCCGTGGATGCTGCACTAGAACCAACCTTGATAGGTGGCACAGTCGGGCACTCTCAGAATTAAATTCATGTCTTTCCCTGTTAACACACACAAGTACTGGACTAGGCCCACACCCATCAGATGAAAGTCCATTTTTGTCCTAGAGCAATCCATATACAGCCTTTCAGCTGTTTCCCTTTCAGCTAAGCCCCATTTCCTTCCCAGATCTCTTCTCCTGGCCATACCAGTCCAGACATCTCACATGCATCTCACATGTCTCTGCCTTATGCAGCTGAGCTCAACCAAGCACCTAACATGTGAAGCTGGCTTGAATAACTTTTTCTGTCTATTCTGTAAGGCCACTTTTCAGAATCCTTCCCAGAAAGAACATAGTTTCTTATTAACACCACAGTGCAATTCCCTCTTCTGAGTTCCCCAGTGTCCATCCTATTGTCTTTCTGCCTTTTTCCTATAACACAAAGTCTTTGGGGCTGGATCGCTCTTCAATTCATCCAGAGTCAATGCTGAACAAATCCTTTTATGTTAGCTTTATTTCTGGAAATAATGAGGTGCAGGTTTTTTCTCTTTTAATGATAACAGATTTATTCTTTCAACCACAAAAACAACTCTGGAAAGAAGGCTAATCTCCAGAGATATTACATCTTGCATTCTGAAACGGAAAATAGCTTTGCTTTGTTTTTACTGAAAAAATAACATTGCTATAAAGGGGAAAGGCTTCCATTGCAACAGCTTTGCAAGAGGCAAGAATGTGGAAACTCTGGCCCCAGAAGATGTGGGCACAGATGTGGAGACAGACATTTCACTTGGGATGACATTTCACGTGTTTTGTTTTCAGTACGTGGACACTTTTGAAGAGGAAACCAGCACAGTCATTCTGATCAACATCAGCAACACCTCCAAGCAAGAAAAGATTATATATACCACAAGACTTGCTTACAACCCTCTCAGAATTTTAGACATATCATACATTCTTTAATCCATAGGCACACAAAGAAATCCTAACATCAACAATAAACCATGATCAAAGCTTTCCAAAATGACTGCTACAAATCGCTTACCCGTCAATCCTGTTCTTACCCAGCTGAATGCCTTACTGAGCTCATAATATTCAGCATAGAGCAAGCTTAGCAATGCCCTGGTCTTGAGTCATAGTGTCAGCAATTCTTCTATTGCTTTCAATAATTTTGGATCCAAATATCCAATATCTTTTCTGAAAGTCACCCTTGCCAACCCGAGATTACGTTTTTCTGCATGTGGCATTTCTCTTGCACTTCTGTCTGATACAATTCCCCACTTTCCGCCCGTATCTTTTACTGGAGAGAGAAGTTATTCACACAAGTGACACTGGTTATTTGCAGAGTCAGATTTTAATTTAACTTTTGAATGTCTTGGCCAGTTTCCCCTGTTCTCAAGTGCTTCCAGAAACAACACAAAAATCCTTCTAGTGTAAGAAAACGTCAAGTAGAAAATTTTAGAGCCAGCAACTTCAAAAAGGGAAAAAGTAACCTGGACTTTGAATGGACAAAACAACTGTAAGCAGCAGAGGCTAGCAACGGTATTTCTAAAATCACTGTAGTGTTACAGGTGGTGTGTAGATTGCCTTGTTTTATAGATTCCATGGAACAACCTGCCCTGTTGTCCTTGTTGCTTTGTGATCGAAATTGCTGTTTTGAAGCTAGTATCATTTGTACTACATAGAGAGATACTGCATTAGTACATCATGTAAGGAAAATCCTTTATGTATGGGATTGGAGTAGGGACCCTGAGCGCAAGCTCAGACCAGTGTCACAGCCTATTCCAGGAAAGAAGGGGGCTCCTGACTTCCGGATGTCTTAAAACAGATGGCACCCAGATAAAAGATGCTGATTTTTCTTATGCTTACTTCTGACCAGGGTTTCTTGTAAAATGAGCAGGCCAGTCATACATGGCCAATGTACAGAAGGCAGAAAGAGAGACTTACTTTCTCACTACTTGAACTGTTCTCTCTCTCTCTCTCTCTTTCTCACACACACACACACACACACACACACACACACACACACACACACACACACGGGCATTGGCTACTCAGATGCACTAATTTATGAAGTGAAGAACAGAACAGTCTTCATTCATATTCCAGTAGACTGGCTTTCAGATAGCAATCAGTGCGTCATTGACAGAGCCACACTTCAGTGTTTGTGAAGGCATTACCACATCAATGGTGGGGAAGTGGTCTTTCTTCTCTCTTTCAATAAAGCTTTGGCAATGGGGCTGCCTGGGGCATGTTCACAGTACCTAACTTCAGCTTTGGGAGTCAAGAGACTCAGCTTCCCAGTATCCCCGTATAATCAACTAGGAGACACAGGTCTTTCAAAAGGCAATTCAGACAAGCCTAACTTACGGTATCACTTAAACTGATCAAGGCAAAGTCAGCTCTTAAAGGCAACTTGCAGCCCTACTGGTGTTCCTCATA